GAGGCAGTGCTGGATCAGAGGAAGTGTTAGGAGATTGTCTTAAATTTCCCTTTAATAATGCCTTATCCATTCCTCATATTCCTCTAATGAGGCCCTGCAACTACGAGCAATAAATGAATGCATTTTCTTTATTTAAGTGAGAACAGGAAGACATCTATTCTAATTGAGTCCCAATGCTTTCATTTGTTAGGTCTCTTTGAAAACTACTGCTTTTGAAATGTGTTCAGACTTACATAAGCTGTTAAATGAAACGTGGTCCCTCTTTCCATGACACTCCAGCAGCAGAGGAACTTGCTAAAGAGATGTGAACCGCTGAATAGGCTAGAAGAGAAACAAATGTTTTTTATATATATATACTGTATATAAAATTAGTTTTTTTGCTTCTGTTTAATATCGAAGCCAGTAAAAGGGTTATTTGTTAAAGCATTCTCAAAGACAGAGAATTCAATTTTAATCATGAACAAGACTCCTAATGTGGAAGTTACACAATGAGTTATAGATTCAACATTCTTAATATGAAATAATAACAAACAGTGTAAAAAGCCTGTTCTTTTGTGTGGCTATTAGTTCAGTGCTGTTTCATCAGGTAAATGCATCAAACACACTGCTACCATCCTGTCTAATCCTATAGGCCCGGATTTGTTTGGATCATGCTAAAACCCATTTGACCCATTTCTGTCCTTCTAAAGCTTGTCAACAGGCATCTGAAAACATTCTGCCATCATATAGCATAGCACTAATAAGCCCGAATATAGATATCACACATGCTGTTTTTCAAATGTGTTTATGAATCAGGAATTTAAATAATTTATGCAACTGCCGTTGAAATGTTGATGCGCAATGTAAATGTGGGTCAGATTAGTGTTCAGAAAAGATCAGTCTGTTTTAAATACGTAATCCTAATGGCCAAGCTTTTGTCGTTGTTTTTGTTTACATCGTACACTATTGTGAATTCAATACACTGCAATTAACTATTCAAACTAAATTTAATAAAAATAAAAATAAACACTTATCTTGATATATTACCGAAAGTCTATCATTAAATAGGTCCATTCAATTATGTAATATTACTGCCCAAAACCTAGAGCATTATTTTTGAAACATGACATTTATATGTATTAACCTCAATGTAATTTATATTTATTTTATTTATTTATAGATAGATAGATATGTGTATATACATGTGTATACATATATACCTTTATAAATTATATTTGTTTAGATATAGTGTTATACTGCATTATTATATGTAAATGTATGAACAAGGATATATAGTGTCAAATAGTGTATATACAGTCACATAATATGCATAATGTACTGTATATGAAAGATATAACAGTTTTCCTTTTGTCAAAGATGAAACAAGAGCACTGTTGCTGCCAGAAAAGCATTAATACGTCTATTTGTTCCTGTCCTTTGGAAGTCCCTGAGCGTGACAAGCAGCTTTGGGTTGAAGTTAGCAAACTGACCTGAGAAGTGATGGAGGTTGAGACAGCGCGAAGATGCCACTTATTTCTTCACCAACTCTTCTTGCCTTGTCTATCCAGGATGAGTTAACGTTTGAGGCTTCAGAGTGTGTATGATTCCCTGAGTGCGGAGTTGCCCTCCTTTGTTGTCAGCTGTATTCAGAGAATGGACAGATGGCCTTGTGCCTGTACCTCGGGTCGTCTGAGACTAGCTTTACTGTTTTTTCCCCCCTCTGGCTTAGCCTCTGATAAGCCTTTTGCCCAGGCTACGAGAGCCCGGAGGCTCTCTCAGTTCTTAATACTCACGTACTCGGTGCCTCATTCTGGGAACGGATGAATTAGGGAATCCCGAGTAGAACAGAAGGCAACAGGTTTTCCATACTTTGGTGAAACTGCAAGATGGACAGCTGACATAGTCTGGCAAAATATTCACAAAAAAGTAAGACAGAATTGTCTAACTGTGAGACTCATCTTGAAATACATGGTCCATTTTGGCAGGGAAGACCTAGGTAAGACACATGCATCCATGGATAATGACATTTTGAAGGACACATAAGAAGAAGAAAATGCCACATGTTTTGCTGGCACCCCCAATCAACATAAGCAGCTCCAAATTGACTGTGTCACATCATTATGGACAGAAAGACACAATGTCTCTGTGGCCGGTTTCCCCTCCCCCACACTGAGCATCTACTCCTGCTAATGAGGCCAAAGTCCTGTGAAAACAATGTGGCCCTTTAACAGAAAAAGATGCACTCTGCTCGGCAGCAAAATTTCAAAGTGAATGAATTAGTGGAGCAGAAGTGGCATATTAAATCACTGCCTGCTGTCTGGGATGGAAATGAACAATGTCTCTGTGTATCTCCCTTCCCTCCCTGCATATGTGTTAAAGGGGTCATATGATGCGATTTCAATTTTTCCTTTCTCTTTGGAGTGTTACAATCTCTTGGTGCATAAAGAAGATCTGTAAAGTTGCAAAGACTAAAGCCGTGTAAAATCAAGTTCTAAGAGCCTGTTACATGACAAACATGTTGGTATAAACTAAAACCAAAACTATCACAAAGTTAAAATTAAAATATAAATACAAGATGAAAAACTAAACAAAAATGTGAAATGTTGCCCTAAACTTAAAAAAAAAAAAGTTGAAGTACTGAAATACAAAAATGAGTACTACTAAACTAAAAATAAATTACAATTATTTAAAACTTAAAATAAAAATGACAAAAGCACACAAATTAAAAAAAGCAAAAATTAAAAAAAAAAAAAAAAAAACTAAAATATACAAATAAGCTACTTCAAAATATTAATAAAACTACATAAAAATACATAAATAGGACTAAAATTCTAAAACAGTCACAGTGATTATTACTGTTTCCACAATGGTTATGCACTCTATCTATCCATATTTATAAATCCCAAAATTGCTAATAGAACTGCTGTTATAATGCAACATAAAGTGATTTGAATGTGACTGTTTATCTATTTTCATACTATAAAACTCCCATGTGACATGCCTTTATGTCTCACTAATATATTTTTATATTATAATATATCTGTTCTTAGTTGCCAACACTCACAGATATAACATCCCAAATTCTGTAGAGGAACTGTAGGAAAAATATTTTATGATAATAGCTTTGAAAATGCAATACAAATTAAAAGTCATATGTAGTACTACTGTTCAACAGTTTGGGGTCAGTATGATTTAAAAAACAAAAAAAAGAAGAAGAAGTCTCTTTATGTTCACCAAGGTTTCATTTGATCAAAAATACAGTAAAACTGTAATATTGTGAAATATCATTACAATTTAAAATAACTTGTCTATTTTAATATATTTCAGAATGTAATTTATACTTTTTTATGTAGTTTTTTTTTATTTATACTTTTATATTTTATAAAAAGGGTAACTTCCCTCTGTATGTGAGTCCACCAGACATGGGGTTTTTAATGAAACCACTATTTTTGTCCTGCAGAAAGATCAACAGTCACACTGCTGTTAGACTTTGGTCTCGGTTCCATGTATTATCGTTTAAATGTAATGTATTATTAGATATAATAATGCATATACAGTATAAGTAGATACAAGAGCAATATCATACAAATAGGAAACGAACTTGGGAATCAAAGATAGTGTTTTAGAAATATTTTATTTATTACACACACTATTTATATATATATATATATATATATATATATATA